TATATATACACATATATATACATATATTATTTTTCTTTTTTCCCTTTAAATAAATGATAATTTGTAAACATTAAGACGTAAAAAAGAAAGGGGGCAGGATTAAATCTGCCTACCTCTTTTTTCAAACAAATATTTTTCAAAAAATATAGTATTTGAGTGTGCAAATGTGAATATGTTTTGTTTGAAAACTAAATAAATAATTTAAATTCGTTCCACTGTCTGACAAAAGTTCCACTTAATAAAACATTCTAATTATATGAAAATGCAGCACCCTAAAAGATTAAGCCCTCTTCCCAAAACATCACTATCTCCCCGTCAGCAGCTGTTGAGCAAAGTGATGCTGGCGTTACAAACACAATCGTGTATGGCAAGCCATTGTGACATAAAATCGGCTTCACCGCACTTACATTCCGGATATCTAAAACTGATTTCTGACTAGATATATTAGATAATTGAGATATCTCTAATTATATTTTTACTAGACATAATCCCTATTTCTATTWATATAAATCTCTTTATTATTTATAATTACATTCTGACTTGTATAAATGATGTCAGATTCACCGTTAAATTATATGAAGGCTCAAATTTAAGAAATATGCAATAAATTACTGATCACAAGAAGCATATTTCACATATCAATTAAATTGTAGTCATAAAGTAAATTTGAGACATCTCGTCGTTTGTTCTGACTGATCATGATTTTAATTAAAGATGTCTTAAATGACATCAGGTTTGTAGGTACAGTAAATATTGGTGTTCTTGGCAGTTTTTCTGACATTTTAAATTACTAATATCGATATCAAAATTATATTGTATCGACCGAAATTAGGAGTTCTATTGTGATATAAATTTTTGCCATACCGTCCAGGCCTATTCCATTATCCTTTCTAAAGGGAACAACCTGGGCTGTTTTGAAAATGGCGGCAYGGGGGCTCAGTTGGTAGCATGCGTGGGTTTTCTCCAGGTACTCTGGATTCCTCCCACAGACCAAAAACATGACTGTTAGGTTAGTTGGTAACTCTAAATTGCGAGTGAGAGAGTGAATGATTGTCTCCATGTGTCCCTGTGATGGACTTGTGACCTGTCCAGGGTGTACCCTGTCACACAGTGCCTGCTGGATTTGGACACCAGTGACCCTGAAAGGAAGAAGTGGGATGTTTTGAAGATTTTAAAACTGTCCAACAGGCATATAATGGGATCCACTTGTAACAATTTTCTCAGCTAAATTGTTGTATAAGTTTTTATTTTGTCCTCTTTTGTTAAATTATTTTGTAAAGATCAAACCAGCGCAGTATTCGAAGACTGAAAAAGGACGGCTTATATTTAATTAGGGCTGTGGGCGGAGAGCATGTGATTCAGCAGTTAAGGCGAGCGTTGGCTAGAAACGCTGTGTCACTGCAGCTGAGGGAGAGTGAGCACAATTCAGGGTGATGTGTTCAAGAGTTCGTTGGTGTGTGTGGAGTTGGTGGTAGTTCAGTGGGCTTTATGTCTGATGTCACATGTGCCCACCCAGTGGTGGAGGCAGGAATCCTGGTGGAAGACACTCATCTTGACGAGGCAGCTACGTCATCGACTCATGTGTTTCCTTCCTCTCTTCCTCCCCGCTTTCCCTCGCGCTGATTGGCACTCGCTTGTCACATGACCCAATGCTCCTACTTCTTCTCTCCTTCCCTTAAACAGTTTCGGCTGCGCTGTGTTTCTCTTTGGGTTTAACGCTCATCTCTGTGTGTGTTTATACGAATATGTGTGGCAACAGCGAGACAGACTGTGTACAATTTAGAGCAGGCGTGTCAGAAAGTGTTGGAGACGTAATGCCATGAGCTATTTTAGGAGGACTGGCTCAGGAAACAGGACAGAGGAACTGATCGAGAGAGGGAAGGTTGGCGAAAATAAGAGATCAAGTGAGAGCAAGGGGAAACGGGGGAAAAGCCAAAATATGTGAAGCAGAGAGCAGCTAGGGAAGTTAATTGAGCCAGCTGACACAGGCGCTCAGTAATACAAGAGAAAAGTACAACGCAGGAGCTCACAGCGATCTGCATTGGTGAGACAGCCATGTCCCCTCTCGTCCGTCCACATCTTCGTTCTGGGTAAACCTGCTCTGAAAAGTCCAGCAATGTAGGAGAGAAGAGAGGACAACAAGGCCCGTCAGCCAGCCAGCGAGCGAGAGGAATCATCCAGCGACGAAGACCAGGCTGACAATAATTGTGGCTGAGACGCTAAGGCAGAACATGGGTGAGGAGAGAATAACAAGAGTACATCATCGTAGGCTGGTGGACATGCGAGGGAGAACAGAGGCTCCGTGTTGTTGCCGTACATTAATGTAATGAGCAGATTTTTAGAGGCTGCCCTCTTCGCTTGCTGACAAGTTGCCGATCCTTTCTCCGTGTGAAGATCTTCTGTCCAGTTGCTGAAACAATCAGAAGCACATTCGAACAGCTCTTCCTCTTGTTTTTCTTTTTTCTTTGTGCCGTGCTATCATCCCGTTCATTCTGCTCGCTGTTGTCGGAGCGTCATCGCCCATTCCCTCTTTATTTCTCTGCACACTTGCGCTTTGCGTAGCGCCCTCGTCGATTTTCTGTTTTGCCAGTGTAGATGAGTGAATTGGCATTGCAAAGTCTGATGATGGTCTTGCATCAGTTGAGTAACAGCTGCCTACTGGCACCTTCCACCTCAACTGCATCCTTTGGGTTCTTTCAGGTTGGGCTAGCAACATCACCAGCAAGCCAGCTCCCTTTCTATTTGTCAGCCCTAAAGTGCTTGAGGCTTCGCTGTAGGATTTGTTATCAACCGCAGGTATAGGACTGAGGGGTTGATTTTTGAGTGAGAAATAAATAAGAGATATGAACGTAAGCAAGAAGGAGAAACGAAGATYGACAAGGCTTTATCGGAGGTGTCTGCTTTTGCCAGGAATGAGCTGAATTTAGACTATCAAACGAAGAAGAACAAAACCGTAGCAAGAAACAATATATCACGTCTGCAGTGGGCAAATAAAAAATGGCTTTTATATGCTGCTTATTCCTTTCTCATTGCGAGTTGAGAATGCCTGTTCGTTCTGTTGCGTTTCACCTCAAAAGCAGTGAAAGTCAGCTACTATCAAAATAATCTTTTTTGAGCTTTTGGAAAATAAAACGTACATGTTGCCTGCAAGGTTATACCATCAAATGCAGCAGTGCTGAAGGGCGTGGATAGAGTCAGAGAGAGGTGTTCTCATTGGTAAGAGCTGTGCTGCACCGAGCTGTTTCCTAGGCTGCTGCTACCAGCGTCTATCCCCCACTGCTCTCTGTGTTTCTGCTCACTGCACACTCCTCCATTCCATTGTACGTGCCCGCTGCGGCTCAGATAATGGCCTCTCGCTCTGCACACACTGACGAGAGAGAGGAGAGGAGATGGAGGGGGAGGCTGCACGCAAGAGGGAGGGGAATGGAGGGAGGGAGGGAAAGAAAGAGAGAGAAGGGGGGGTGGTGGGGGCTGAGAGGAGAAGCCGACTGCATGTGTAGTCAAGTGAAAGAAAGAGGATATTGAAAAAGGGAAGGGAGGAGCAGATACAGATAATGAGAAAGGAAAAAGGAGAGAACAGAAAGCTTTGGCTTTAAGAAGAGCCAAGAGAATACGAAACGTGTGTGCCGTGCTGGGGGAGGTGGTGGGTTGTGTGCGCGACGGGTTGAGTGTGTGTGTGTGAATGTGTACATGTGTATTTTGGTGCTCGTTGTGCCTGTGCACCACACAGACGGCAAGGAATAAACCGAGAATACACCCAAAGGACGGATTGCTTATGGATCGCTGTACTGGAAAACAGATCTAATGCTCCTCTCTGTCGCCTCCTCTCTCCACTTTTCAACCGTCAGCTCCGTCTGGACGTCCAGGACGGTGTAAGTATGTGTCTCCGACCCTCAAGGCTCTCAGCCGGCTTAATATTGTCAGGATCTCTGCTTCATGTTCCTGCTCATCACAGCAGCAAAGGAAGGGGTGGGGGAAGAAAGAGGCGGATGAGAGGGAGGATGGGGTGGTGTTGTGTATGTGGGATTTAGGTTCAGCTGTCTACTCACAAGCTGCATTTAACCCCCTCCGTACCACCCCTTCTACCTTCCAGTCCTTTGAGTCTTCCCTCCAGATTCTTTGAGCAGCGTCAGTTGTAAACTGCACTTGTTTTGCTTCCCAGGCAAGCCTGTCTGCCTTGTTTAAAGGCTTCAAGTTCATCTGGTCTACCAGGTTTGGCAGGATCTTGTACAGTTAGATTGGGTGATGCGGTTGGGTACACTTCAGTCAAGCCTGTACAAGTTCCTATGTGTGTTTGTGTGTGAAATAGAAATAAAAAAATAGTAAAATGTAACACCACAACACTTAACTCTGTCATTGTGTAAATATTTGGCATGTGACCTGTACAGCTAGACGTGCTGGGATAGGTGAAAATTGCTGCAGGCGTCAGCACTTTTTTTTTATTATCCCTGACTGCTGTTCATATAAATCCTTTTTAATGTGAATTAAAACTCTGACTATATGAATTTAGTGTCTTGTTATTTCATTGATGGCGGTGCTTTGTTCTCTACATTGGTTTAGAGTGGTCGATTATTTCCAAAAAGTTCAGCTGTCATCACCGTTTTGTGTACGTAACTGTGAGAAAAAGAGGAAAGGAGAGTGTCAGTGTGACTGACACAGCACGGTGGTGGGATGATGGGTGTTGCAGTGTTGCAGTCCCCTTGTTTCAACACACTGCAGTTCTCATAACTGCCGCACACCGCTACCCCCTCCTTCCTCTTTCCCATCTGATGCTGTCGATAGTACAGACACGGGGCCTCTCACGTAGGGCATGCCGGCTGTTGGCTGCCACCCCACCCCCCACCCCGCCTCACCCCAGGACCCCCATTATAGGAACCCACCACAGAAGGTGGATTTAAAAGATCCAAGCATTCTGCCTGTCCAGTAATTAGCCACTTCAAAGGCTCATTTCAATAATATTCAAATTTTGGGGAAGCTGAATGTCAGCCCACAGTCTGCTATCAAACACTGAAAGATCATCACACAGAAACCACCTTCTGCCTTTTTTATTTTGGGTTCAAATGAAAGAATGCCAGAAGACTAGACTATAATATTTTCACATTACCTTGTAGTACTGTTTGGGTGTGAGACCTTCAGCAGGTTAGGGTTTGTGTTTACTGTATATATGTACAAAGAGTACTCCACCCCTCCATCCCAACCTAGTTCAGTTTGTGTTTCTTCTTCCGGCAGGGAAATATAGCATTTAAACAAAACATTTGAGCCATCAAAGTTTGTCATTAGTGTTTGTGTTTTGTACAATTTATGCTGACACTTTAGAGTTAGTTGACTATAACTATTAAAACTAATAATTCAATTCAATTCAATTCAATTCAAAAATACTTTATTGATCCCAGAGGGAAATTAGGTTATAAATATGTTAATAAATATGTAATAAAACAGTCTGCAGATCTTCTCTGCTTTTTACTGCTGGCCTTTTGGAATAAGGCTAAAGAAATGTGTGTATTTTTTATAGCAAATCTGCCTTTGTTTTCTTTCTGTAAGGGTCATTGAGCTTATTTAAATACTCTGTACAGGTACAACATGAACTCTGTTAATGATTTATAAACCTGGCCTTTAATTATCTTTGTTTGCTGTCCCTCTAGACCAGTGATGTCTAAATCTTCTGATATGTGGGCCAAAATCATCAAGTTCAAAGACTTGCAGTCTACAAAATTTGACTTTTTGATGGCAAAAAATAAAAATAACAAAACATGCACAATAGAGGTGGATTAATTAATTAATTAATTAATTATTTTTTTCATTTTTTCATTTTTAAATTCAACAACAACATAAACAATATTTTAGTGAAAGAAAAAGATGTAGACTCAATTTGGCGTAAAAGAAATATAAAAAAAAGTCTTGCAAACTTTTACTTTAACAAAAAGAACAATTTCATTGATTTGTTGGAGCTAATGTTTTTTCATTTTCTTGTAATTGGAAACGTGCATTTTGTCTATTTCTGATGTGGCTGGCCAAATCAACCCCTGCTCAGATTAAACCTGGAAATAATTTGTCCCAGACCAAAGTGTACTTAACTTGCAGTGACCCTGCAGCCTAGCTCTAGAGTAAAGTAATTCCAGTCTATGAGGTGCAATCACTGTGTGCAAGAATGTCTAAGGGTGTATGTGAATTGGAGCAACACAGTTGGCTTAAACATATAAAGCCAATAAAGAAAAAAAGTCTTGTAGACAGATAATTAAAATATCTTTATAGTAAAACAGCGATGTAGCTCTTGACACATGTAATTTAAGACAAGGTGTTTGTTGATTTGAGTGTAAGTACTTGTGTGGTGACTGTTTTGACATGAAGGAAGTGAGACATGTGGCTTTACTGATGTTCTTGTGATTACAGTTCCTTTGAAAAAGGCTACAGAAACAGCTCAACAAGATTTCTAATGCTTATAACATGGCCACGTTACTTTTTGTGTTATCAATGGAAAAATGAAAAAAATTAGTCCACGCGTACATTATTTCTCAAACTTTCTTCTTTTGTTTCTGCAACTTTTTCACTTTTTGGCAAAGAAAAGAATCCTTGGTCTTTTATTACAGCGACAATAAATATTTTATGAATCAACTATATAGTGAGTTCTGCAAATGATAAACTGAATTAAACTTTCATTGTTTTTAAAGAGTACAAAAACCAAACTGAGTGACTTATTTTTCTCCTGATCTAACTTATAAATTCAGTCAAGTTGAAGTCCGCTGAAAACAAACCGTGGAGGTCCAAAAAATTTTTATGCCCATTTTTTCTTTCTCTTTAAGTTTCTTTTGATAGTTTTTTGCAGGTAATACCTTCATTACTAAATAACTGTAATGCTTGTTTACAAGTGGTGCATTACTGCTGTAATGCAATATGTAACTATGTTAGTCTGTAAATAAATGGATCATTTGAAGTTTAACCTTTAAGATATTGTTTTTGGAAGAACTTTCTGTGCAGTTGTGGTAATGTTAGGACAGATGAGTGACTGGGTGAGTGAGAGCTACATTGAACATTCAGTCATTTAGTTAACAGCAACAAWTGTTTTGGTGGCAAAGATGATAATCCTATTCGAGGTCTAAGTGAGATGTTTGAAAAATATTGCATGTACATCTGCAGTTTTGTGTTCTCTTAGCTGTTTTGGGATTGGAGCAAGTTTAAAGTGTTTTCTTGTGTTAAAAGAAAACACTTTAACTGCTGCTACTGCTTGTTCACACAAGCAGTGGACTTGTCTTCTATGTCCCATCTTTATCACACTTGGCTTCTTTACACCGGGGTTGATGTTTTATGCCCATCTGCCTGTTTTGCATATGGTTCAACTGATGACTACAGTATCCATTGTAAAACAACGGTGAAACTGCTGTATGACATGTTATAGGCCTAACGCAATTTCTGCCTGTTGTGGAATAACACCATACTGAAATATTTACTTAGGTTTTCCTTGCTTCTATTGATCGGACCCTGCAGCACATTATGCTATTGTATAAATGTGTGAGAGGTTGGAGGGAACCACTGGATAAGAACTAAAGAAAGGAATGGAGCTCTGTATTGTGTGGTCACTCTGACAAGTAAATGTAAAAACAATATTTGTTCAATTAAAAGAACTGATTAAGCCCAATATCTGGTTGTTATTATTATAATTAAGTTATTTCAATCTCTTGTTGGTTTTTAATGCTGTGTGGATTTATTAACTTCTTTACAATTTTACTAACTTTGATTCATATTTGTCTTACAGACTGTTCACAAAGTCCTTTCAGTGGATGGCCCCAGAAGTGGAGGCCAGATGGAAATTGGTTCACATCACCACCTCCAGGAAGGCACGTTGAGCCTTGAGTTGGCCAATGGAATGAGCCCCTTTCCTAATGATGATGATGCACCTATGGAAACAGAACAACAGAAGGCAGGAAGTGTGCCCCCTAGGCAGTGTTGGGTGCCAGGACATAGCAAGGTCAGTGACACCCAACAGCAGCAACCATGTTGGAGCAGCAGTGGAGGTACAACCCCTACTGAACCAGTTCACCATGCAAACATGGAGGATGCCCACAATCTGGTAGCTTTTTCTGTTACTGCCAGCTCCTTGCCTCCTTCTTCTTCATCTTCTTGTCACCCGGTGCAGATTAATACAACCCAGTTGTATGAAAAGTTTATCCAGGAGACAGGAGCTGGAGGGGCTCATTCCAGAGGTTTTATGGAGTCACCTGAGGGAAGCTGTCAAACTTCAGAAGAGCTTGAGACATTACAGACAGCACTGCATCAAGCCAAACATGGTCAAAAGCCCCCCAACTGCAATTGTGATGGGCCTGATTGTCCTGACTATCTTGAGTGGCTGGAAAAGAAGATTAAATTAGCAACCAGAGAAAATCAAGGCTCCCACAAAAAATCTGATGGTGCTCCACACTCACAACAACCCAGTTTGCAACATTACCCTCAGACCTACCAACAGATGAATGGTGCCCATCATATATCCAATTCATGTTCGCAGAAGCAAGTGGTGAATCCAGGCCCACACCAAGGCCAAGTGCCCTGCTCCAAACCTCCTATTCCTTGCTCCCCCCAGGTGCTTTCCATGGTCAAAGAAAAAAACATCAGTCTTCAAGCAGCCATTGCTGTAGATGCCCTGACACAATTGTCTGGCTCTGGTTCTCAAGCAGCCAGTTCTCTTGGCCAAACCTTATTCAGTAATAACTTTCATAACCAACAGCAAACAGAGAACATCACACATGGTTTAATTTCATCCTCTCCAAACACCGCCTCATCATCACGCCCACAGTCTGTCCCTCCAGGTCTGCATACCAACCAGCAGGCTCCTTCACCATGTGAACACCACAGACCCCAGTCCCAGGGTCAGCCACCCCATGCTACACCATTCCCATCCTCTACCTCTCCTTTCCCAGGTCAGGGAAAACCTCCAGGTTTTAGTTCTAATCCTCAACAAGGGCAGCAAGGCTCTGGCAGAGAAAGTGAACAGAGAAATCCATGGATGTATTTGAAATCGGAAACCCAGTCTCACTTTATCATTTCACCTCATAATAAATTAGACCCCATRTCAGAGCTTAAACAGCTGCTTGGTGATACCAGTGGTAAATTAAAACACGTCCCTTTTAAGCTTCCAATCACAAAGCAGCTCAGCTTGAGCCAGAATGGAGAAATTCAAGGCCAAGGTAGCTCACCACTGGCCCGAATAAAGCAGGAGTTGGACTCTGATGAACATTACCATCACACTGTTTCTATGGGACAATATGGTTTCTCTAATGGGCAACAGCAAGGTCAGCACTATCCTGGTAGTCCTATGTCTCCTGGCCAAGCAGTCATCAGCCACTCCACTCAGACTGCTCTGCAACATCACCTTCATTACAGGAGGAACCTCTTCTCTACCCATCCTCCTGGTTTTGGAGCGCCAGGCTCACGAGCACCAATGGGTTGCCAAAACTTAAAAAAATGGTGGCCACAAGTGGATGCAGAAGGTTTGTCACTTCTGCCGATTAAGCAGGAGCCCAAGGAGCCCAAAAAGAAGAAAAGCAGCCAAGGATCTCCCATCATAAAATCAGTAGGTGGGATGTTCTTGGGCCCTCCCGTCCCCAAACCCAAACAGATAATCATCAAGAAAACTAAGCAGAAAGCCTCCATGCCAACCTTCTTGCCTCAAAGTCAGATCAGTGTACAAAAACCACCAGTCCATGTGATGGACAGATCCCCAACTCTAAACAGTCTGCAAGCATGCTCTCTCCCCTCTCTGGCCCTCCTCAGTACCTCCACTCAGGCTGCTGTTGCAGGTTTTCCTGTCCCAGCCCAATCTCAGGTATCCATTTCCAACACCTCAATGACTTCCTCTTCCACAGTTTCTGTTTCATCAGAACACCCTCCAACCCTCATGGACCCTGCATTCCTATCTGTGGCGCCTGCAGGCCATGATACAACAGAAAAATCAGACAAGAACCTGACCTCCAGTAACACCAGCAATGCCACACCTGTGACCTCTGCGTCTTCAACCAACACTTCTCAGTTACAAAATCTCGTCAACATAGATCCAAAGTTTGAAGAACTTATCCGCCAGTTTGAGGCAGAATTTGGAGACTCGGTTCCTGACGTATCTGCCAGTCAACCCAAGGAGGCAATTGCTCCAGGCCCTAAGTCAGGGAATCAATGTGCGATCAGTCCTCAGAGCCTCAATTCCACCACATCCCACACCTCCCGGTCAGTTTCCATCATTAAACCCAATCCCACACCTCAATCGGATGAACAGGAGATGGTTGTCAGTAAGAGTCAGGCAGATAGTCAAAGTGAGACATCTATGAGCCTGCCAAACACAGAAAGCACCATGGAAAGRCAACAGCAAGAGCCAGTTGATGCCTCTCTACACCAGGAAACCTTTTTGGACAAGCAGCAGGCACCCAGAGTGTTTGAGAATATGCTTAGCATGCAAGATTCTCCGCTGCCTAAACGCTTTAAATTTGAAGCTTCAGGGGAATTAGCAGTACTGTCTACTACCTGCTTTTCTGAAGAGGGCACACCAACCAAGGATGGTCTTCACTCTTCCCCTTCACTTAAAGGCTTCCTAGAGTCCCCTTTGCGCTACTTGGACACCCCTACTAAGAACTTGTTGGATACTCCATCCAAGGACCAACAGTCAGATTTCCCTACCTGTACCTGTGTGGGTAAGTGTTTACAGAAGCACCAGTCTGTATGTGTACTGTATGTTGCAAGATTCTCTCAACCCATAAAAAGTGTAACATTTAGATACACATTAAGCAACTTTAAAACCTCTTCCAAATTTGTATTTTTCATAAAAATCCTGTGAAATTTGTATAATGTAAAGAACCACAGGTTGAAAAAAAACAGACAAATTCATCCACCACACTTACTCAGGACACAACAATATTGGACAGGGCTATGAGCCATTACATATCAGGATAGTTTATTTTAATTTTTTTATACAAGCCAACACAAAATAGAAGCAACGACTTAACATTTTTTTAAATGTAAGGAGTAGAAAGTACAGATAATTGCATGAAAATGTAAGAAGTTTAAGTAAAAAGTCAGCTGCAAAATAATTACTCATGTAAAATACAGACAACCAAAATTTCTATTAAGTATTTGTACTTTCTTACTTTACAACTTTGCCCCTGGAGCTATTTATTGAATAGCCCTAGTTTATGATGTTTAATGAAAAGTACCTGCAAGCTGTAATGTTTTAAAAGTTACATTATATTTGTAATGGAGTGCAAACTAGGGCTATTCAACTTCCATAAACACACCTGCTGCACATAAACACCAATGTTAATGTGAATCCATGTGTACGGTTCACTAAACCGAGGCGACTAATTCTTTCAGTCTTACAATTTACGTCCTTGTTGTGATTCCTTTACAAACACTTTCTCTATTAACTGCTGCAAATCCCATGTTTTTATTATGTGAGCATTGATATTACATTATGTAAATTTAGTAAGACTAGGACTTTAGGTTGTCCTTTAAAGTGCATAACCAAAATGGAGCAGGACCCCTGGCTGCCCACGAGTCCTGGCAAATATAACAATCAAACAATAGCACAACACATACTGAGGCTCTCTGTATATACAGTATATCTCCTGCCCCTAGCACCTGCTCTTCTCTGGATATTTGTTGTTTGTCAGTGAATGTGTTTGTTGCCAGGGTGTGAGGCAGCCATCAACCAGACAGCAACAATGTGAGGCAATGAAGGCAGCAGGCAGGAACAAAAGCAGTGCTGGCAGAAGGAGCCTTTTGTGGCAGACTGGCAAACCCTTGCCTTTGTTAGACAGAGCAGTTCAGTCTTCTGTTTGGGTTGCAGCCTGCTTGGGACAACTGATTAGGTAATATTAGTAGTGGTCGTACAGGTAAAATATTTCATTTCTACATATTAATACATATTTAACATAATGTTGATAACAATGAAAAAACTATTTTTTTGTAAATTAGCTCACCCTCTGTTACAAGCACATTATTTTGTCCCAGAGAAGTGAAAACATGWCTTTGTAGCCGCACTGTGGGATTTATTATTTGTTAAATGCTTATTGTGTTCTCAGAAAACCTATTGATAAGTGTAAATGATTTATTTTCATTTGGTCTATGATAATTCCGGCTAAAGCTTTAAGACTCTGTATGAAAACCCGTTCTGTTCACAAACATTGAAGCACACAGCAGGAAGAGAGCAGCTGCAGCAACAGGCTGCGTGATGTTAATAAAAGCATGGCTTGTTCATGTTCTTCTCTCTTTAGCATTACACCACACTGGAAACAAACTTTCTTCAAGATGCACAGTTAGAGTGTAAAACCAAACCATAATTTGAGCACACTAACACACACATGCACTTCCATGGTATTTTTAAACAAGGCTCTGGTCTGACTCCTCCACTTCCTGCTATGAGCCACGCCCCTGGTGTCTCCATACTCCACCATGGGAATGTGACCTAATGTTGCCTTTGAACCATAGAAACACACACTCTCTCACACACACACATAAATCACTGCATCAGTTTCCATGGCTTAGGTAATAATTTGATGGAAAATTGTCCGAATTTATCTCATGAAAAGAGTGATCAAGACCAAAACAATGATGAAAGACTTTGTTTACCTTTGTCTACATGGTCAAATAAATTCCCACAGTCATACACAACATAAACACACAAGTACATAGTTCTGTTTTTGCTGTGGGATTCATCACCCAACAGACCACACCCTGCAGTCACAAACCACTCTGTCTCCTTGGGGGAGGTTATTATGTTTGCGTGTGTTTGTGTGACTGGACGCTGCAGCCATTTGCACTCTCCCATACTTCTTCAGCAGTGACTTGGCTTCAACTTCAAAGAGTATGTAGCTGAGTGCTATTGTCCTTATACCAAAGTGATATACGAGAACAAAGTAGAGTCAAGCTTTTCCTCTTTGCTAAGTCTCGCAGCTGAATGTTTACAAGCTGAGCACGACATTTAGATCAAAAGCCTCTGTAGTTTCAAGCTGTGCAGAAACTGGTGGATATTGATTTGAGGCATTCCAAAACTATCAAGTTAAAGGTCTAACATTCATTTAAATATTTCATTGAAATATCACCCTCTGCCTTCTCTGCCACACTTTGAAGCTAAGATTATTTTGTGATGTGAAAGTGTGGAGCTCAGGTTGTGTTCAAACCTTGTAACTAATGGTATGTGCACAAATGGCAAATAAAGTATCTATCTATCTATCTATCTATCTATCTATCTATCTATCTATCTATCTATCTATCTATCTATCTATCTATCTATCTATCTATCTATNTCTATCTATCTATCTATCTATCTATCTATCTATCTATCTATCTATCTATCTATCTATCTATCTATCTATCTATCTATCTATCTATCTATCTTGCTAGTTCTGTCAGTGTTCATAGTATGTTAAGGATGACTCTCAGCTACTACCACATCAAATAYCAGTAAACTGGATTAAATTATKGACATTTTGTTTAGGCAAATGTTCATTAGTTGTGAAGGAATTAGGTTGACTGCAAAAGTTAATCAGYTGTAGATGAATATTCAGTGATTGTTATCTGAGTTTTGTTAAAATCTATCCTGTGGTCCAGGAGATATTTTGCTAACGGACCGTGTTGACTGTAATATTTAATGCAAATAATTTAAGCAAAAATGTTGTGCAACGTGTAGCAATTAAGTGTTGTGACTTACTCTCAGCTACTACCACACTAAATTTTAACAATATCTGTCAGATGGACCGAGTCATAACCATTTTTGTCTTTGCTAATRTGGAGTAACTGAGGCGGCCATCTTGARTTGGGTTGACGTTCAGAGTTGTAGGTGGAMGTCCAATGATTACTTTCTGAACGTCTCTTTAAACATGTCCAAGTGGTCCATGAAAAACTTTGCTAGCAAACAGACAAAGGTAAAGTTTTATAAACAGAACTCATGTGATCAGTTAGCTCATGGAGTATTTTTTGGGGATCAGTCTCAGTTTCTACCAATCTAAATTTTAGGTCAATATTTGTAAAATTGACTCAGTTAGAAGCATTTTTAGGTTTGCTAAGTTTGCTTAGCTGTGGTGGCCATTTTATATGGATCAACTTCAAAAGTTAGTTAGTTGTAGATGTTTATCCAGTGATTACCTTCTGAAGATTTCATTCAAATACGTCTAATGATTCATTAACTGGTTTTTTTTTTGTTGCTAAAATGACAGAGAAATGACCACACACACATAACTAAAACATTATCACACTTTTGCCTTCAGTAGTGAGTGATTATCAGAAGAAATTTTTGGAGAGATACACACCTAAACTTATTGTCCAGTAATTGAAGCTACTTTTCCTCCTTATTTTAGCAACTGGTTTTAATCTTATATGTTAGTGTTGGATGTATCCCATACTTTTATAGATATCAGTACAAAACATGACAATATCATTATTCCTGTAACAACAGTTTACATAATAACAACTTCTTTCTGGGATTTGTAATTTACTTTTCTGTTATTTCATTTTTTCCAAGATCAAATCCTGGAGAAAGATGAAGGACCGTACTATAATCACCTGGGATCTGGACCTACTGTAGCCTCCATACGAACCCTGATGGAGACAAGGTGTGCCRATTCTTCTTTTCTCTTATCCCCGCCTTTCTCTCATCCCCGCCGTTCTCTGTTCTCTTGCTTCCTTTTCCTCTTTCCTCATCTCCTCTTTTCTCTCCAGCCTCCCCCACTACCTCCTCCTCCTCCTCTCATTTTGTCCTCTGGGAATTAGTGACCCAGAATCTAGATGCAGAAACAGGAAATATCAGCATCTTCAGTGAATCAGAAGCACGAGGAGTTAGCAGCAGATGACAGTGGAGAATGAGAGGGAGAGTGACGGAGGAGAGATACACATCGTGCTACTAAGAGACACAGATGAAAGAGCAAAACACAAGCAATAAGAAAGGGCAACTTAAATATTTATTCTTGAAAATTAAGTTTTTCCCCCAAATCTATAATTAAACAATCTCAGACTAGATAAAACTAAATTTTGTGTAATAGTTTTATTTTTGAGACAAGTGATGACATTCAGCATCAGTCATCGGGGCTGTAATTCAATCACCCCCCCCCCCCACACACACACACACACTGTAAGCATGTAACTAAGTTATTATCATCAGTGAATCAGTAGTTAGTGACTGTAATGACCACAGTGTTTACAGTGGAGCTGTCATGTCTTATCTAACAGATAACCCTGATCATCTGGTTTGAAGGTTGAGAGGTTAGGTTGGTCATTAGTTATCAAAATTAACTGTTRCCAAGAGATGACGTTAGATGTAAACCTGCCTGACCTTTGCCCCACCACTGACCCCAGCAGACCACCCTTGTGGTGATGCTTTTTCAGCCACCTTAGCTTRATTTTGCTTGTAATCAWTGTCACACAAAATCTCCTCAGAGCTGAACTTTTTACAATAGCAGGCATCAGACTGAGAGAGGAGAGACCTGATAATCGCTGCGGCCAGATATGACAGGTCCTGKTGACCCTCCTGCACCCCAATACAACCTATGACCTCTCCCTTCCTCTGTACGCCTCCCTGCAGGGTCCATCCTAAAACACAATGTCTGTGAAWATGAAACTCTATCCAATCACATCATGATTGACAGTAAGAGCAGGTTYTGTATCTGTTGTGCAGACGCTGCTGGGTTCTGGTTTACTCTGCTGGGTTTGTGTGAMTCTCCCAGGGCGCTGTGAAAACACACTTCACTTCAGCTAGTGTCGCTGAGCTCAGTCACCATTACTACTCCCTCTGAGACCTGCAGTCCTATTTATTTTAGTTGTGGGTCAGCATCCCATTCTGATGACATGACAACCAAAAAAGCCAGTTTACCATTCAAGCTTTCCATCTTTGAATATTAGAAACAATAGACAAATGCATTTCACTTTGAGAACCCTCAACTGGGATTACCTTTATTCAAAACCAAACATTGTTGTCAGATAAACACTAYATTAAGGTACAGTCTGGTGATTTTTGAAGTGTTCTGGCAAATAGTTATTARTATTTAGGGCCTTATAAATTCATAGGATATGGATTATGAAGAACTCTTCCTCTAAGACTTCAAGGCTAAAAGCTCTTTTACATAGGTTTTCAGGCAATGCTTTCTCAAAAGGATCACACAGGTGTGAAAGAACACTTAAAGCAGTGTCACACTACAAGAAAATCATGCCGATTTTTGCCTTTCCTACAATCTTAAGGAAGTCCAGATTATCGTGATGGCTCTAAAGA